ACTGGACGGTTACGACTTCATCTTCGGTAGGGATTGGCTACGGACGGTTAGTACTCAGTTCGATTGGGCTCAGGGAAGTTGCAGCGTCAAGGTAGACGGGGAGTTCCGGGAGCTGCCACAGTGGAGTGATGGGGCCACATCCTCCACAGCCATCATCAATGCTGTTCGTGTGCGGCAGCTGGTGAAGCGAGTGGCACGGATCTTTGCGGTTTTCCTTGAGGAGGTGGAAGCTGAGGAGGGGAAAGGAGGGAGTGCAGCAGTTGGTGAGAAGGCGACTCTTCCTGCTGAGGTGAGTGCACTATTAGCAGAGTTCGCATACGTCTTCCCCGACGAGTTGCCCCCAGGGTTACCTCCCAGCCGAGCAGTAGACCATCGAATAGAGTTGGAGCCGGGGAGCAGGCCAGTAGCGAAGCCGCAGTGGAGGTTGAGTCCAGCAGAGACAGAGGAGATGACGCAGCAGGTTAGGCACTTTCTCGCGCAGGGTTTCATTTAGCCATCTAGATCGCCTTGGGCAACACCGATCCTTTTCGCACCTAAGAAAGACGGAGGGTTACGGATGTGCATAGACTACCGCGCACTGAACGCCGCCACCGTCAAGAATAGATTTCTAGTGCCGAGAGTAGAGGATCTTCTCGATGCAGTGCAGGGCGCTAGAGTCTTCTCAATGATCGACCTTCGTTCGGGTTACCATCAGATTCGTGTAGTTCCAGAGGACCAGCACAAGACGGCTTTTCGTACGAAGCAGGGGTTGTACGAGTTTAGAGTTCTACCGTTCGGCTTGACCAACGCCCCAGCGACATTTCAGACGTTCATGAACACCGTCCTTTCAGAGTTCCTAGGTTCGTTCGTTGTCGTTTACCTAGACGACATCCTGATCTTCTCCAAGTCGAAAGAGGAGCACGTGCAGCACTTGCAGAGGGTCTTTGAGGTCTTGCGGAGGGAGAAGCTGTACGCGAAGCAGTCAAAGTGCGAGTTCTTTCTTCCTGAGGTCGAGTTCCTAGGACACGTCGTATCCGCTAGTGGCATTAGGACCGACCCGAAGAAGATCGCAGCAGTACAGGATTGGGTAGCACCGACCTCAGTCAAGGAGTTGCAGAGCTTCCTCGGTTTCGCGAACTACTACCGTCGTTTCGTTCAGGGTTACGCAACGATCGCTAGTCCACTCACCGACCTACTTCGGAAGGGCGTAGAGTACGTTTCGGGTCCAGCGCAGCAGCAGGCGTTCGAGCAGATGAAGCAGTCGCTCACGTCTTCACCGACACTGTCGTACCCTGATCCCACTCGCCCATACGTTGTAGTGACTGATGCTTCAGATCAGGCCATAGGAGCAGTGCTTCTTCAGGACCAGGGACGCGGGTTGCAGCCGATCGTACGAGTCGCGTAAGCTTAGGGGAGCGGAGTTGAACTATCCCATACACGACAAGGAGGCGCTCGCGATCATCCATGCGTATAAGGTGTGGAGGTGCTACCTAGAGGGGGCAGATAGTGTTATACGCACGGACCATTGCTCGCTTCGCTTCCTCAAGTCGCAGCTGCAGCTGAGTCGTCGCCAGGCTAAATGGATGGAGTTTATGGAGGGGAGTTTTCACTACAGGATAGAGTACAAGCCAAGCGTTCGCAACCCAGCAGATCCGCTCACTCGCCCTAGTTGCCAGCTCGCTAGCCTCACAGTCACTGCCGGCCATCCACTTCTCACAGCACTCTTCGAGCACGGTTACACAGTAGATCCCGACTTCACACCGCAGCCGCCCGCAGGAGCAGAGGTGCAAGGTATTAGCTACATACGGAAGGGTACCACACGGATTTGGGTTCCAGCCTACCGCCCTCTTCGACAGCTCCTTCTCTCAGAGGCGCACGACGTAGTTAGTGCAGGTCACTTCGGAGCAGATAAGACGGCTAAGACGCTTAGTCGCACGTACTACTGGCCAGGGCTTGCAGCAGACGTAGAGGATTACATTCGCTCGTGCGACACGTGTCAGCGTACGAAGTCCTCTCGCCAGCGCAAAGCAGGACTCTTGCAGCCGATTCCACCGCCCGACCGCCCTTGGCAGGTAGTTACCATGGACTTCATCATGGCATTACCGCGCACAGTTAGGGGTCATGACGCCATCTTCGTGGTAGTGGATAAGTTTTCTCGAGCAACGCACTTCATCCCCACGCACGGCAAGGTTACAGCAGAGGAAGCCGCGACGATGTTCGTAGATAACGTAGTCCGACTGCACGGGGTTCCAGATTCCATCATCTCAGACCGCGACCCTCGTTTCACTTCGAAATTCTGGAAGCAGCTTTTCGCACTGTTTGGGACTCGCTTAGCCATGTCGTCTGCGTACCATCCAGAGACAGACGGACAGACCGAGCGTGTGAACCAGACCTTGGAGCAGATTCTTAGCATCACGATGCACGATCCAGCCGCATGGGACAAGAAGCTGAGCATGGCCGAGTTCGCCTACAACAACACGCACCACTCGTCCACAGGCATGTCACCATTCTTCGCACTGTACGGTCAGCACCCCAATGTCCCCACTCGTGTCGATCTCACACCCACAGTCCCTCGTGCGGACAACTTCCACCAGCATCTCACCTTCATTCATGATCACGTGAGGAAGCACCTTGAGCTCGCAAATGCACGCATGCCACGCACCACCAACCGCAGTCGTCGTGAGGTGTCGTTTTCAGTCGGCGACCGTGTTCTCTTGGATAGCCGCAACCTCCGACTGCCACAGGACAGCAAGCTTCGTCCACGTTTCATTGGTCCATTCGTCATTGAGCGCACACTTGGTCCAGTCGCATACCGCCTCCGCCTTCCCGCTCATTTCCGCATGCACCCGTCATTCCACGTGTCGCTTCTTCGTCCTTACACCGATCCCAACGCCACCTTCTCGGGCCGTGACCGCACTCCACTGCCGGTAGCTGTTGACACCGACGAGCCCGACTACCAGATCCAGCGCATCCTCAGGCACCGTCGCCGTCTCCAGGGGGGTGTCTCTTTCATCGACTTCTTGGTTCGTTGGCGTGGTTACGACGCAGCAGATGACAGCTGGGTTCCTTCGTCCTCGCTGTCTCCCGACAACGCTTGCCTCCAAGCGTACCTTCAGTCTGCAGGCGCCGCGGACGTCGCCTCCTTGGGAGGGGGGTAGTGTTAGAGGGGTGTTTACTGTTCCCTTTGAACAGTACTCCCAACCCCATCCTTATCCTTATCTTTTTCAGATTTCCTAGTGCCACGTGGCACTCTACCTTTCTTGCTTCTACTTTCTAGTCCCACGAAGTACTTTCCGACATTCGACCTTGCATGCTATATCATCCTTGCTTGTATCCACCAATACCAACCAATTCTCATTCATCAATTACTCAGTTACTTCTTCGCCTATTTCGCCAACACATCTTTCGCCAAAGTCTTCCGCCGCGCTTTATCCTCAATTTAGTCAACCCCGCTATTCCATAGCGGATCTAGGCCAAGGGGCCTAAGGGCGTGTAAAATCGCGCACCATTTGCGAAATTTGCAAATGGCTGGAAATCCGACGACTTTTTGGTCGTTATTTCTTTCGCGAACAACGACCACTTGGTCGACATTTGGTCGCCCACCAAATCGGCCTGTACTTGCCATTTTCTAGACTTGACAAGTTTGCAGGCCGATTTGCGGGCCGCATGAACAAACATGTCAAATTGGCAGCCTCGCACAAACCAGCCACTTTGCGACCCAGTCGCACATTTGACTCCAGTAGTGGCACGACCACTCGTTCTATCGCAGGGCGCTTTGTGCGACGATGGGCACATCTGTCGCAGTGACTTGTCGACTTCGTGGCCGTTTGCGAGTCGACTCGGCGTCGTTGTCGTGTCGGTTCGCTGAAACGGCCATCAAATATTTCGGGATTTCGCGAAATTAACGAGCGTGTCCAAAACACCGCGAGTGTCGTAAAAGGGTTACTTTCGCCAATAACGGCCCGACGGATTTTCCCAAAATTTGTTGTGGCACGACTTCACACGCCCTAAGGGCGTGTCCAGCGCGTACATTTTGGGAATATTAGTACCTTCACACGTTTCCCGGCTCAAAAAATCTCACTGTACCAAAAAACGAATATAAGGTGAGTCGAGTCCGAAGGATTGGGCCTTCCAGCGCGCGGACACAACCCTCTGCACACAAATTTCTACAGTTCGTGGAAAACGAGGTAACTGGTTGGCTCGTCTATCATCGCACAGATATTCACGCACAAGCGAAAATTCCACGCTTGAACGAAAATTACTGTAGCGGGCAGGACGCAATGCTGTACCCTTGTTCGCGCGCACACTGATTCCAGTAACGTGTGTTAGACGATTCGTCGTACGCGCAGCGGGCGTGCCGTCTTGTGAACGGAAGCTGATCGTGTCCAACCTTTTTCTAAAATGCAGTGTTACAATAGGAAATGTGGTAACTGAATGGGTTTATGAACTGAAACTGTACGCGCTGGACACGCCCTAACAATACCAGCGTGATTTGACGACAATCGCATCTCGAGTCCCTCGTATTTGGAATTTGCGGACGAAACCAGCAGCAAAGTTCTGTCAGAATTTACTGACGCATTTGTTAGGCCATCTTGTCCGTCGGTTTTGCCATCGCAATTTCGTTAGACCGGGTTCAAAATAGGTCGACGCAGTGACGTCGGATGCTGAACGCGCGACTTCTGTGCGACGTCCGACGATGACTGCCGGCGAAGGATAACGATTTAGTACGACGATTGCGATAACAGTACAATGTCTTGAAGTCGGACCGATGCTTACTAGTAGCGGAAAACGCTAGTGGCTTGATACGTGACGGCTTGACACGTGAGGACTCAGGTCAACCCGAGTGGAGTAGAGCTACCATAGCAGATCAGGGCGCATTTAGCACAGCGATCACTAGCACAGCGATGCCATTGCGTGCCGGATCATCACTACTAGTGCACATGGGTATGCGGCTCGAGCTCGATAGGCGGAAACGGTGCGAGCTCGATAGGCGGAAACGGTGCGAGCTCGCGGTTACACTCATGGTGGCATTGTCTCTCGTCGCGACGGTCCCCAGCGGCCAGGCACGCGGCGGCGCGGGTCTGAGCAGCCGCGACGACGACGCAGGGATAGGCAGCGCAGGGATAGGCGGCGCAGGGATAGGCGGCGCAGGCGGCGAAGGGAGCGAGGGAGCGATGCGCGGAGGAGCAGGCAGCGAAAGAGTGGGGAGGGTATTAGAAAGCAAGGGGGGCGGTGGCGGGACTCCCGCTGGACGCGGCTTTGAGCTGCCGGATCCGCCGTCCAGATTCGATGCATCTGTGGCGTGGCGCCACACGCTGTACCGCACGGCTGACTCGTGCTGGAGCCAGCAGGAGCGACACCTGTACCACACGGTATGGCGTGAGTGAGGTGTCGGTAGCACACGGTATGGCGCGAGAAGGTGTCTGTAGCACACGGTATGGCGTGAGAGGGTTACTGTAGCACACGGTATGGCGTGAGAGGGTAACTGTAGCACACGGTATGGCGTGAGAGGGTAACTGTAGCACACGGTATGGCGGGAGAGGGTAACTGTAGCACACGGCATGGCGTGAGAGGGTAACTGTAGCACACGGTATGGCGTGAGAGGGTAACTGTAGCACACGGTATGGCGTGAGAGGGTAACTGTAGCACACGGTATGGCGTGAGAGGGTAACTGTAGCACACGGCATGGCGTGAGAGGGTAACTGTAGCACACGGTATGGCGTGAGAGGGTAACTGTAGCACACGGTATGACGTGAGAGGGTAACTGTAGCACACGGTATGGCGTGAGAGGGTAACTGTAGCACACGGTATGGCGTGAGAGGGTAACTGTAGCACACGGCATGGCGTGAGAGGGTAACTGTAGCACACGGTATGGCGTGAGAGGGTAACTGTAGCACACGGTATGGCGTGAGAGGGTAACTGTAGCACACGGTATGGCGTGAGAGGGTAACTGTAGCACACGGTATGGCGTGAGAGGGTAACTGTAGCACACGGTATGGCGTGAGAGGGTAACTGTAGCACACGGCATGGCGTGAGAGGGTAACTGTAGCACACGGTATGGCGTGAGAGGGTAACTGTAGCACACGGTATGGCGTGAGAGGGTAACTGTAGCACACGGTATGGCGTGAGAGGGTAACTGTAGCACACGGTATGGCGTGAGAGGGTAACTGTAGCACACGGCATGGCGTGAGAGGGTAACTGTAGCACACGGTATGGCCTGAGAGGGTAACTGTAGCACACGGTATGGCGTGAGAGGGTAACTGTAGCACACGGTATGGCGTGAGAGGGTAACTGTAGCACACGGTATGGCGTGAGAGGGTAACTGTAGCACACGGTATGGCGTGAGAGGGTAACTGTAGCACACGGTATGGCGTGAGAGGGTAACTGTAGCACACGGTATGGCGTGAGAGGGTAACTGTAGCACACGGTATGGCGTGAGAGGGTAACTGTAGCACACGGTATGGCGTGAGAGGGTAACTGTAGCACACGGTATGGCGTGAGAGGGTAACTGTAGCACACGGTATGGCGTGAAAGGGTCATCTGTATCATGCTGTATGGTGCCTGACAGGTATCTTTAGCGCACATGCTTTCACACCCATCTCATGCTCAGTGACACCTGTCATCAACCTGTGATGTGCGTGCAGGCCAACACCGCCCCACCCTCCAACGCATTCTTGAGCGCAGTGGAGGCCTTTGAGGGAATGCAGAGGGATTGCGTGGCGCAGGGCGCAGAGCAGTGGGCGTGGGTGGGCAACAAAGGAAAATGGTATGCTCGGCATGGGAAAGGTCGGGAATATTTGTTGGGGTGACGATAATTGCACCCTCCTTTCCACACTCTGCCAATCATCCAACTGTAAAAGGGCTGTGTTATGGCAAGCACATTGCTCACTGCACGTGTTGTCTTGTCTGCACATGCGTTGTGTTGTTTGTTGTGTGCCAGGAGCAAGCACCTGCCACGTCATGGGCCTGGCAGGGAGCTATGCCGCTACATTGTGATAGACGACATGAAACGAGGTGAGGAGATGAAACGAGGTGAGGAGATGAAACGAGGAGAGGAGCTGAAGCGAGGTGAGGTAATAAAACGAGGCGAGGAAATAAAACGAAGAGAGGTTAGTACATACCTTCCTTGTGTCACTGCACTGCATGCAATGCCACGGACGAGCTGCCCCCGTCAGCTGCTGAATGGTGGAGCAGGAGGCTCCTCTGAAGTTGCTGAATGATGCAATGAACAGGCATGTAATGCGACAAGGCGAATGAGCCATGTGTGAATTACACAGCAAGACCAGTGTGCAGTGCACTCTCGCGTTTTGACGCGCGTCAATTATGCCCTTGAAAACAAGGGAAGCCCCTCACACCAATGGGAGCTTCAGCAAGGCATTCCGTTCTCACTTCATGTACACTCTACAGTATCACCCTAACTCCCACTTGGCAGGCGTGGGCAACAAGATCACAGCATACGTGACGGCGTTCATCTTGGGTCTTCTCACCCATCGAGCCATCATCGCACCACCGACTGCCTTCCTCACTCGCCGCTTCTGCAACCCCTTCGCCCATGCCAACACCTCCTGGACCGTTGACTCGCACACTTATGAGTGCGTCCCTCCGTATCACCCTCACAGATGTACTCGTCTCTCAATCTCACCCCTCACAGACATACACGTCTCTTACACTCACCCCTCACAGCGATACACGGCTCTCACCCCCACCCCTCAGATCGCTCCCCCGCATAACTCTCACTCGCCAGCGTTGACAGCGGTAGGATGGCTGCACTCAACTCTCAGGCTTGCATGCACATTCTTGCTCGCTCCATTTGACCGCACATCGTTAGCGTTAGCCATCGTTCAACGCACACATCTGTGGCACACATTGGTTCGTGCGGCACACCTTGCGAATGATGCGGGTGATTGGCATGGCAGTTTATTGAGCTGAATGCTGCTCAGAATATCATGAGCACCCTACAAGCAGCGACTTTTTTCGCCTGTCTGCCCTGACGGGTATCACAACGAGATTTTGACGTATTTTACAGACGAACACTACTTTCTTCTCACTGCGTCCCCCACTGCAGCTTGATGCTGGGCACAGTGTTTGAGAAGCCACGGCTGCTGCTCACCAGCATGGCTATGCAGCTGAAGGCGACGCAGGGAGGGGCACTCACGGACCTGCCATGGCAGGTGGTCAGCAAAGGCGCAGTGTGGATGGACCTGTATCGCAGGTGAGTGGTGGATGGAACTGTATCGCAGGTGAGTGGTGGGTTTTGATTCGACTCAAGAATGAAACGAGCTTTGAGTCTACGCAAAGCTAGGCTTGGAGTGGATGGACCTGCGTCGCAAGTGAGTGGTGGATGGTGCGTGCATGATCTCAATATCAACAAGCTTCATATATGCTCCTCCAGGCGAGGAACTCTTCTCGTCCTGTCCTCCTGCTGCCATAAAGCACATGTTTTATAGGGGGTTTTTTACCAGATCTGATGCTGCACCTCGCAATGAGTAGCTGCACACCCACAATCCACTATTCTACAGTCGGCAACAAAGTATCGTGCTTTCGTTGTTCAGCCCACCTTCCATGCACTGGGAGCTGGAAAGCAGCACACTCCACTACGCTGTGTCGTGTACAGGACCACTGCTTGCAGGCTGCAACGCAGGTTGCAACGCACGGTGCAATGCACGTTGCCCTACCCACTGGAAGCCTGAAGCGTCGTCCACAGGCCTCCTCTCATCACCCGTGCAACCCCACCACCACTGGGACCTGGAACATGTTCGCACTGACCTGTGCACCGCTGCTGTCACCACACCACACTCTTCTGTGAGGGGCTTGACTTCCCAGCAAGCACCTAGCTAGCGGTGTTGCAATGCTCTCTTCTACCCCCCCGTGCTGCCCCACCATTGGGACCTGGTATATGTTTCGCAGCGCCCTGTCCTGTGCACCGCTGCTGCTGCAATGCCGGCTGCGCCACACTGGAAATAGGTTGTGCTGCTGCCGTGCAGCCAGCTGTTAAATAAACTCACCCTTCTTCCTGTCTTTCCAACCACCAGGACGTGGAACGTGTTCTGCAGCGACCTGTGGAGCACTGCTGCTGTCGCGCCCTTCTGGCTGGCCGGCATCGATTCTTACACCAAGCCAGCCTGCACTACATTCCAGAGTTCGCGGTGAGTCTGATTGGCATGTGCTGTGCACTTGCTATGTGATGTGATGTGACGTCCTTTGTGGTTTCTACGAGATGGGTGCCCAGCATCCATGCGTACGTCATCCCAGAGGTCGACTTCTGAGGTCCAAGCGTTTATCCCAAATTCTCTCAAAAGTTGATGCTTACTTCATCCCCAGCTTCCCCTATATCCCCGAGTCCGCGGGTGAGTAAGAAATGTGCTGTTCACGTGCAGTGCCATGTTTTCTGTGGCTCTCTGCCAGGTGGTGCATTTAGAGGCAATCCAAAGTCAACAAGATTGAAGTGTCACCTTTGGTAGTGGTTTGGTAACGTGGGTGGCCCAATCTCTCATGCCCAAAGAAGCAGACCAGACAGTCACCACATCTAACAACCATCCCGATTCAACACCGGCTCAACACAGGACCATCCGACCATCTACGTGAGTTTCCCCGATGGTCGTGTTCACCCATACAGCCCACCCCTCAGGCACCAATCCCACGTGTGTCCATGCAATCACCCCCCTCTACCACCCTCCATCACAGGACCGACTGCGTGAGTTGTTTCCCGATGGCCGTGCCTTCACCCGTGCAGCGCAACTCCCAATGCATCCGGACAACGAGCTGTGGGCGCACATCACCGCCTCGCCTTCCATCACTCCCCTGTCAAACCCCCCTCCATCACCCCTCATCACAGGACCGTCTACGCGAGTTGTTCCCTGACGGCCGTGCCTTCACCCACGCGGCGCGCCTCTTGATGCATCCCGACAACGAGCTGTGGGCGCAGATCACCACCGCCTTCCATGCCAACCTCGCCCACTTCTCCCACCGCCTTGGCCTGCAGGTGGGTGGGGAGAGGGGGAGGGGGGTAAGGCTGATTTGAGTACATGTGGGGTTTGAGGCTGCTTGGCGTGGTACAAGTCGCCACGTCCAGATGATAGGTGCGTACGGCTTCACCTTTCATGCCATCCCCACCCACTTCCCCTCCCTTTTGGCCTGCAGGTAGGCAGGGCGTTTGAGGCTGCTTTGGTTGCAGTGGGATGTGATGCTGCTGTTACAATGATTCCTTTCTGAATGCCCCATCACACGGGTACCGCTACCCGGTTGGCTTAAAAGCCTACTAAGGTGGCAAGAATAAAATAATGACGTACAAATCATGGAGCAGGTTGGGTTGAAACCCCATCCGAACCTAGTACGTGCTGATGATAGGAAAATAACCAGAAAGCGGGTTCAAACTAATCCTGATTCGCAAGTGAGTGTGCTCATGCTGGGAGGTGAACCCTTCCATGTGTCTGCCTCATTCGCACCCATTGTGGCACATCCCGTCTCCTCATGACATCCATCCATCTGCCACCTTTGAACGATAATTTCTGCTACACCTTCCATTTCACCTGCTTTGCGGTTCCACCTTGTGTGTTTTCTTCACTCACACCCCTGGTACCAGATCCGCTCGCTTGATGGCATCCACCTGAATGGGAGCCTCTGCTGCGCCTTATATTTCACCTGCCTTGCGTTTCTGCCTTCATCTGTTGTCACTCACGCCCCTTGTGTTGTGTTGTGTTGTGTTGTGTCAGATCCGCTCGCCCGATGGCATCCATCTGCCCCTCTCGGCTCGCATCCTCCAGTGTGGGGCTGCTGTGTCGCACTACCTGCCTTACACACAGCCGTACTCACAGGTGAGCGTGCTCATGCTGGGAGTGCTATAGCCTTTAATGTGATGCTGTTGCCCTCGCTCTCTGCGCACATCCTTCAGTCTGGGGCTTCTGCCCCTCGCTATATACCTCACACACGGCCATACGCTCACGTGATGATGCTGAGGGTCGTATCCATCATACAGGCCTTGATTTGGAGTAAGAGGCACCTCCTTCCTCTCATTCAACAGTCGTCAATTTGCACCGTTTTGGGATTAGACAGCATAGCTAACCTCCCTCTCGTCCCGCTTGTTTTCACTCACAAACTCGTTTCTTGCATGTGACCTCTTATCTGGCCTGCATTCGAGCAGCATGAAGCACATGCTAGAATCCCGTTGCTGCATTCGGGCCACAAGGCTGCCCGTTGCTGCATTCGGGCCACAAGGCTGCCCGTTGCTGCATTCGGGCCACAAGGCTGCCCGTTGTTCTTGCAAACACAAGCCGTGCATGCAATCCTCGTCGCTTGCTGTTATCATCCAGGCTCTTCTCGAGTCCGTCAATAAGGAGCCCTCGCACGCGCCGCACATGACGATGGGGGTGTTTGTGTCATCCTTATCGCTGCAACACATGTTGGAGCTGCAGGAGCACTACACATACCACATGCCCATCGGCAACACACTCGTTGCCTTCTGGTCGTGAGTCGCCGTCTCCTCTCCTCTCCTAGCTGGTCCTTGAGAATAGCTGATTTTGAGAATAAAAACAAGCCATGTTGGAGCTGCAGCCACACTACACGCACCACATGCCCATCAGCAACACACTCGTTGCCCCCTGGTCGTGAGTAAACCACGGTATTATCCCATCTAAGTTGAGCCGTGCACTCGCCCAGACTCTGGTAGTGTTGGGCAGGGGACCTGGATTATTGTTCCCTCCCGCCCCACCCACCCACCCACCCATCCGCCTCACCCTTAAAAGACAACCTTGTAGCCCTGGGAGGATTGGGTTCGCTGTTGTTCATGAATATATCAGCAGCATCATTCCAAAGTTGTTCGCCTCCGCCCACATGGGTCCCATGGCAGGCTGACGGGCGAGGAGGTGGAGAACAGGAAGGAGCAGCACCTCGTTGCCACTGTCATTGAAATATGGCTCCTCAGCTTCTGGTGAGCTCCTCAGCTTCTGGTGAGCTCCTCAGCTTCTGGTGAGCTCCTCAGCTTCTGGTGAGCTCCTCAGCTTCTGGTGAGCTCCTCAGCTTCTGGTGAGCTGTGCAAGGTGCGTTCTGTTCTGAGTCGACTCAAAAGTCACTTCTGGTAAGACGTGCCCTAATATACCAATGTGCTCAGTTTTTTTCAGCAATAGGAGTCTTGATAGATTAAAGAGGTCAAAATATTTCCTCATCACCCCCCTAACTCCCCCACATCCTCCCAGTGCCTGCTCATAACACACCTCTCCTCGTTCAGTCGCACGGCAGCGGAGCTGGCGGCCATGGAAGCATTCTCCAAGGCCATCACATGGTGAAGATGCGCCAAGTGGCCTGCCTTGAGTCGACTCAACCCCTGTCCTAATCATCACTCCCCTAACCCCCCCCACACATCCCTCCCAGTGACCGCCTGCTCATAACGCACCTGTCCTCATTCGGCCGTGTGGCAGCGGGTCTGGCGGGCATAGAGGCTTACTCCATGGCCATCACAGTCGTCAACATGCGCCACGTGGACTGGCGCACCTCGCCTGGGCCTGTGTGCGAGCACGTGCCTTGTGAACCCTGTGACACCGGTGGAGGGAACGTGAAGTGGGTGAGTGGTTTATTGGGTTGGTGGTATGATGGGTTGGTGGTATGATGGGTTGGTGGTATGATGGGTTAATGGTATGATGGGTTGGTGGTTTGATGGGTTGGTGGTTTGATGGGTTGGTGGTTTGATGGGAGGGTTGCTGCGCCTCCCATTCTCACGGTGGTCAAGTTGCGCCAAGTAACCTGGCGCACCACGCGGGGCCCTGTTTGCGAGCGCATGCCTTGTGAACCGTGCGACAACGTGAAATGTGTGAATAACTGGAGGGTTGCTTCGCCTCTTGTACTCACGGTGGTCAAGACGCGGCAGGTGAATTGGTGCTCCTCACCTAGTGAGCGTGTGTGAGCGTGTGCCATGTGAACCATGCGACAGTGGCGGCGGAAACGTGAAGTGAGTCTTGAGACGCCTCAAAGGGCTGTGCATGATATGTCGGACGTCAGCTGGTGCTCCATGCATGGACCTGCAAGGGGGTGTGAACCGTGTGCAGTGTGAACCGTGTGCAGTGTGAGCCATGTGACAGTGTGAGCCATGTGACAGTGTGAGCCATGTGACAGTGTGAGCCATGTGACAGTGGTGGTGGGAACGCGAAGTGGGTGCTCCACCCATGGGAGGGTGCTGCCATGCATGCACCTCACATCCCCGTACATGCCAAGTCCGCTCGTGGCATACCCCGATGTCACACTTTCCATCCCTTCCCCCCCCACACACCTCCCATCCGCCCTCTGCTTCCCCCTTCTCCCCCCCACCAGTCGGGGTGTGGTTGGGACTTCAACCTCAGCAGGCTGGCACATGGGTGGGAACGGCCGGCTGGGTTTGGCATGTGTGCCGGCTTTCAGTTCTGCCTCACCCCATTGGCGTCCCAACCGCCACAATGATTGCTCTGCCAGGAGGCGCACGATATATTGTACAGCACACCCCACATGTAGTTGCCTAAAGGCAGTTTTGGCATGTGTGCCAGCTTCGAGTTCGAGTTGAGGGTTTAGGGTGAAGCCGGCAAGACCTCGTGGTCACAAACTGACTGAACCCACACCCTGCAGGACCTCACCCTCTTGGCCTCCCAGCTGCCACAATGATTCCTCTGCTTGAAGGTGGAAGCTGCATTCTCCAGCATACCGCGCACCATGCACGCACGCACGTAGGTGCCTCACCTCAAGCCACCAGGGTTTGGCTTCTGCACCAGCTTCCAGTCTCGCCTCCAAGGCATCAGCCTGTTCGCCTCACACACGCAATAGCGCCTGCCTGGTGTGGCATCATACCAGCGTGGGTGCAAGCAGTAGCACTCGATGCACGGGCTACTGATCGTGCTAACAATTTATGAATGCCCCGTGCCTTTCAATTCGGCCTGCATGACCACAGCTGCTTTCCCTCCCAACCCAACCACCACACGGTGCTTTCGTTGCTCCTAGTGGCAGTACAACCGTGCCGGTGCAAGCTGTGCCATACACCCCTACAAGCACTGATACGGCTTAGGCAGCGAAATTAGTAGCTTGTGTGATGTGCTGGCTTCTACCGTCATCGCCCGGATATAAGACATATATGTCTTATCTCGTACACTAGAAAAAATGCTTGGGTTATCTTGTATTTGGGGAGGTTTTGGGTGTCTTATAAGTCTTATATGTTGGAAACAACTAACTCTAAGCGCCTCTGTCGTGTCGAAACACCAAGTCAGTAGCGAAGCAAAGTATATCGAAGGACCGGCGAGTCAACCCTCGGAGGTTGAGCAGTTGCTGGAGGTTACGCGAAAGTCAAAGGTCAGCGACCTTTGACCTGACAAGTACAGCGCGACAGCAAGGACACACAACTGACTCGCTACAGAGCAGTTGCCCGAGTCGTCACTGTATCGAACCGCAACAGCAACAGTAAAGTAGTTGCAACTGTATCTCTTCGTATTCCTTGTACTCTTAAATAATCTTGTATCTCCTTGCTCTAATCAATTCACTTTTGCCCTCACATACCAGCGCAAGGTGGTTCAACTACTTCATTAAACGCTTCCGCTAATTACAACAAGTCCTACCCAGAGTTCAGCCCTGTAAAGATCCTAAGGGCTTTTCTCAGCCCAACATGGTATGAGAGCTAACAGGGGGAACTCAACTACCATCAAGTTATCTACAACATCAGAAGGCATGGCAACACAAAAGGAAAGGAGCTCCTCTAACGGCTCCCCGGGTACTACTCCTACTCCACCTCCTGCCTCTGGCCTACAGACATAGGAGGGTACGGCAACAAGACCAAGAGCAACTTCTACTGAGACTCCTGCGAATCAATCTGCAGGCTTCGATCAGAACATGATGGAGAAGTTTTTCTCCTTCATGTCCTTTTACGAGCAACACCAACAGTCGGCACCTGCGCAATCAAACAACAGCAACAACAACAACAACAACAACGTGATTCCAATGAGCCTTGATGGTTCATCCTACGCACGTGGAAATCAACAACAGCAACCTACCTTTGCTCCGTACGAGCCCCAGCGCGGCTCCGCCAGCTTCATGCCACAACCGCAGCCTGCACCTGGACAAGAGAAGACACTGGACGCACTTCAAGTTCAGTCGCAGTTCGCGCACGTCTTAAAACTGCAGACGTCAAGGCCCTTCGACGGGAAGGACTTCTTCACCTGGTCATTCGAGTTCGAATTGATGATGGAAGGCGCACAGACTCTCGGCTTCTTCGACGGGTCCCTGCCATATCCAACAAATGGCACACAGTATGACAAACAGCAGTACACGTATCAGTCAATGATGGCGTACACGATTCTACTGAGGAACATCACTCCAAATCAGCAGCAGAATTTACGGTCTTACCGGGGATACGGCAACTCCGCCGAACTCGCATACAGCCACTTGAAGAGCCTGTATCAAGCAACAGACAGCGTAAATCAGAGTCGGTTGATGGCGCAACTGACAACAGTCGAGATGAAACCAGGCGAAAAAGGAATGGCGTATATCAGCCGCTGTCGCGAATTGCGGGACAAACTCCTTCGATGCGGAGGGTCGATATCTGAAGAAGCCTTCGTCACAGTCGTCATCACTGGACTTGGTCCTCATTGGCGCTCCACTCGAGCTATTCTCCGAGCTCACGGGAAGATCTCCGAAGCAGCACTCTGCGCCGAAATTCACGCCGAGCAGCAAGACATGGACCTGCAAGAGGAACGGCACAAGAAGAAAACATCTGTACCCGAATTCGTGTTTCACACTCAGCGACGCTACAACAACAACAACAGCCGACAACAACCAAGGCCCGTACCTCCGTTCTGCCATCTCTGCAAAACGTCAGGACACCCGCGCATACACTGCCCGAATCGACAACAGTCAACACCGCCATAGCGACAGCTTCGACCCTCAAGCAGCCAAGTCGCTCCAACACAAGCGAACCCCACCGCTCAAGCTCAAACGACATCAACAGGACAACCTGCACAAGGAGCAAGAAACATCGTCAGTTGTATGGCAAGACTCTCCGACTCCTGCATTACCGAATCACCACCAACATACTCACCCGAAGAACTCCTTGACGAAAGCACGCCACGCCGCGAGATACTGGAGCCGAATCCGACGTACGCAGCTATCGCCCAAAGTGAGCCGTCCGGAAAAGATACTTGGTTCCTGGATAGTTGCTGCGGGCAGCACATGTGCTCTTCGGGACGCTTCGTTCAGCGCGAGCACCAACTTCAACGCGAAGTCGTCATTACCGTCGCCAACAATCAGAACATGCGCACACGTCGACAAGGCGTGGTTCAACTTCAGTCAAGGGAGACAAATGTTATACTGCAGATGTCAAAGGTATTAATCGCGGAGGGAATCGGCTACAACTTACTGAGCGTCAGTCAGCTGATGGCGAAAGGCATCCACCTTGAAGCAGATAGCACCACTCAGGAGTTCAAGTTGTACCACGGAAGAGGAGGTCTCTACATCGGGAAGGCAGTCCTGAAGAACAACGTCTTCGTCCTCGACTTCGTCCCAGACCTTTGCACAGCTGACAGCGACGGGATCGTCACCTTCACCTCCTGGACACATCCACCGGATCTTGACCCCAACTTCAGCCCCGAAGGATTCTGGTACTCGCACACCATTCCTGAAGCAGAAAGAACAAGAGCGTTAGCGACAATTCAACATTCGGCAGCAGCAGAGACAACATCGGCAGCAGCAGAGACAACACCGGCAGCAGCAGAGACAACACCGGCAGCAGCACAGACAACATCGGCAGCAGCAGAGACAACGGTAACAGCAGTGGCAACATCAACACCAATCGCTGGTCCTTCAACGGCACCGATCTTCGTCGATGACACACCACCGACACCCGCGCAACAGCTAAACCCGGCACCACGAGAAGTTCATCGAAGCGCCAACTTCACCGCCAGCTTCTACTCCGACTCCGACATGTACCGACGTTCACCCGGACACCGCGCCAGCGAAGAAATCTGGCACGCACGGATGGGACACCCAAGCAACACAACGTTAAATAACACGATAAGAGCAGGAGTACTCGACAAAGACTCGCTACTACTACATGACGGGAGAGAACTCCAACGAGTAAAAGGGGCGTGCTTCACATGTCCTGAAGCCGACTTACCGCATCAGCCGTTTGTCCCTCACCACAACCCGAGTGCACCAGCATACGCACCGCTCGAAAAGGTGTACAGCGACATCTTGTACAATCGCGTACCAGGACAAGGAGCTTACAACTACACCATCACCTTCATCGACGCTGCCACCCGATACGTTTGGCACCTGAACCTTCCGAGTCGCGACATGGCTTTCGAAGCCTTCGTCGCCTGGCTTCCAGCAGCAGAACGAGAGTCCGGAGTAAAGCTAAAGAGTTCTCAGTCAGATGGAGGCGGAGAATACACCTCACAACGCTTCACGGACTACCTGACAGAGAAGGGAATCAAGAGGCTCATCTCCCTTCCTTACGCCCATCAACAGCAGGGTGTAGCAGAAAGGATGAACAGGACCCTCCAGAACACCATGCGCAAGCTGTTACGTGGCGTGCGGCTACCCAACCACCAGTGGCCCGAAGCAATGGATCACGCCGTCATACTGCACAACTTGCTCTCGTCATCATCGCTCCCGAACAACGCATCACCGCATCTGCTGTGGATAGGAAAATTGGGCAGCACAAAAATGTTACGAGTCTTCGGCTGCATGGTACAGTACCGACCCCCATCTGCACGAGCCGGCCGATTCTCCCAACGCGCACAGTGGAGACTACACCTGGGCATTGAAAGGAATTACAACGCATGGAAGATTTTTTACGTCCACACCAAGGAAACAGTGGCAGCACGTGATGTGATTTTCTACGAACGACTCACTCTTGACTCCTACCTAGCCAACGTGGAAGAACAACGCGACCTCACCAGTGGACTTCGTGGAGACCGAGCCTTCGCTTCCGCAGCGGACGAAGCTGACTAGGACGAGCAGAACGTGGACACAGCCTCGGAGGAAGCCGGACCTCTCCCTTACTGCTCCGTCGATGTCCCAATGGATGACGAAAACCCTCGCGAAAGCGTCAACGCCGAAGTATTTTACCACTTCGCTGACAACGGTTACGTTACACCTGCAGAAGTCAACACCAACGAAGCAGAACGCATAGGGCCCAACTTCATACCTGACCCAGAAGCAGGTGACGAAGCAGCGTATCCCGCGGATACCACACTCCCCCGCTACACACAGAGTGGCCTCCAGATACTTGGCCTGGTCACCGCGGCCCACGGCACTGCGATTCCTAAGGAGCCTGCGACGGTTCAGCAGGCTCTGTGGGGGGAGCACAGGGAAAAATGGCGCGAATCCATGGACAGGGAATTGAAGGCACTAGAGGAGCGCAACACCTGGAAAGTCGTTCCCATCAGTGTGGCACGAAACAAGACTATACTCACCGGGAAGTGGGTCTTCCGTGTGAAAACAAAAGCAGACGGCACCATCGACAAATTCAAAGCACGCTGGGTTGTACGCGGCTTCGACCAGGAACACGGACGCGACTTCACCGAGACATTCGCCCCGGTCAGCCGACACACCTCACTACGAATCCTTCTCGCGATCGCCGCCATGAAGAAGAAGAAGTTGCGGCAAATCGACGTCACCAACGCCTTTCTTTACGCACCCGTCGACGCAGAAATCTTCGTCGAGCTACCGCACGGCTCCAACGGAGAGCCTAACCAAGTCTGTCAACTGTTGAAATCGCTCTATGGCATTAAACAAGCTCCGAGACTGTGGCAGCAGTACCTGCACGCAAGACTCATCCGCATCGGATTCCGCCAACTACCTCACGACCAAGGCATGTACCGGCTCACAAAGGGCACCGACTGCATCCTGCTAATCGTCTACGTAGACGATTTGCTCTACATCGGCTCAACCGACGGGATCACCACCTGGTTCGAAGGGGGGCTGCAACAAGACCTCACGCTCACAGTCTCATCCACCGTCACGCAATACCTCGACCTCAACATTCAGGAAGAAGAAGACGCAATCTACCTCAGCGCCGCGAAATACGCCGACACCATTGCTAAACGCTTCGCACTCACGCCGACCACCATCTCCACGCCATATCGCTACGCGGCAGGAAACAACAGGGAAGCATCCACTCCGCTAAAGTCTGCTGGTATACGCGACTACCAGAGAAAGTTGGGCTGCCTTCTCTTCGCAGCCGTCACCTGCCGTCCGGATCTGTCATACTCTGCAAGTCAACTCGCTACTTACCTCAAGAAACCTGAAGCGGATCACATGGTGGAGCTCGACCGCGCTCGTCACTACCTCGTTAGCACTCCGACGATCGGCCTGGCCTATTACAAGAACGGAACAACAGCACCTAAACTAATCGGCTACGTCGACGCCGATCACGCCGGCGACTCTGACAACAGACGCTCGCGCACCGGCTACATTTATCACTTCGAACCTATCGGTCCTATCTCCTGGCAGTCGAGTAAGCAAGACTTAATCGCCCTCTCTTCAGCTGAAGCAGAATATATCGCACTCTGCTCAGCCACCAAGGAAGGACTGTACCTTCGCGAACTCCTGGAGGAAGCCAAGCTAGCCCAGTTACCGAAGTTCACCCTGTTCTGCGACAACCACTCGGCCATTCGCATAGCCAACAAGAACGGCTTCGCGAACAGGACGAAACACATCGCCCTGCGAAACTTCTTCGTGAAGGACGAGATCGAGAAGGGGAGACTCGAGCTGTCATACTGCCCCACGTCCGAGATGGCAGCTGACTACTTGACCAAGAAGCTCGGAAAGCAGAAGTTCGAGTACTGCATGCTGCTGACTGGACAGAGCCACGTCACCAGCAGCGACACTCCAGAAGCGAAGGGGAGTGTTGGAAACAACTAACTCTAAGCGCCTCTGTCGTGTCGAAACACCAAGTCAGTAGCGAAGCAAAGTATATCGAAGCACCGGCGAGTCAACCCTCGGAGGTTGAGCAGTTGCTGGAGGTTACGCGAAAGTCAAAGGTCAGCGACCTTTGACCTGACAAGTACAGCGCGACAGCAAGGACACACAACTGACTCGCTACAGAGCAGTTGCCCGAGTCGTCACTGTATCGAACCGCAACAGCAACAGTAAAGTAGTTGCAACTGTATCTCTTCGTATTCCTTGTTCTCTTATATAATCTTGTATCTCCTTGCTCTAATCAATTCACTTTTGCCCTCGCATACCAGCGCAAGGTGGTTCAACTACTTCATTAAACGCTTCCGCTAATTACAACAAGTCCTACCCAGAGTTCAGCCCTGTAAAGATCCTAAGGGCTTTTCTCAGCCCAACATTATAAATGAACAAGGAACCGTTTAGAAGATACCCCCTCGTTATACAATTGCCCCTAACCCTTACACTGGCATAACTCGTTCACACAAATAGGTGTCATATAATGAGGCTAGCCTGTTTATAAGAGACACCCGGATAATAGACAAACCCTGTCTACTATTCAACAATGTCTACTATCCGGGCGATGACGGTAGCTTTGGCTGGCAGGACAGCAGCCGTTTTGCCTCCCAAGCAGGCACCATAGTGGCCTATGATGGATTTTTCCTGCGACATCAAAATCCCTGCGACGAGGCGTGCAGATTGTGGCGATTCTGACTGACCGCACGAAAAATGGTTTAGGGTTTGGCTTACTAGCTGTTGCCATGGAAGTAAGCAGGCCCTCAGATTCGTTTTTGGCCTGTCTGATTCGTCAGAATAGTACACATTTTTAGTCTGAAACTCTCAGAGTTCGTAATTAAAGAAAGGCTGAAATTTCAGAGTGTCTAAAAAAATATGTCTGAACATTCGAAATCAATGTATTCAATGTTCATCAGAAATGTATTCAATGTTTCATTCACCTGTTACCGAAACTAGACTAAGGGGATTTCGGGAGAACATGCTCTGACGGCGAATCTGCAATGTCAGACGCGAATCTTGTGGTGATTGGGTGAATCTTGTGGTGATTGGGAGAATCTTTTGTCAGAGCGAATCTAATGGTGTGACAGGGCGAATTTGCAATGTCAGACGCGAATTTTTGGTGATTGGGCGAAGTTGTGCTCTGACGGCGCAAATCTGTGGTGTCCGGGCGACTTTGCTATGATTGGGCGAAATTTTCGTGCTGTAAGACGCGGATTTGCTGTGTCAAGGTGATTTTGCGTTGACAGTGCGTGTTATGAATGAACTTGCAGAGTGCGCAGAATATCGAATAACGAGAATGAGAATTACAGAATGACGAAACAATGAAGTAGCGAGGCCTAAATAGGGGAAATCCTAGCTAGGCGGGGAGGTTGGGCGAGGATGGCTCGGTGATGGTTGCGATTGGAGCGGAGGCGACTCGGGAGTGGTTCGGTGTGACGAAATAGGAAGGACAGGTTCGTCGCGTGACCCTCGGGATGGCCTCGCTAACGAGTGCCTCAGTAAGGATTCTGTAAATCCTTACAGTGCGAATATGCTGTGTAACCCGTGAAGTCCGAATCACCAGTCAAGAATTCATCAGAGTACACTCCCGAAAAAACTATGAAACGTCAGAGTCAGCCTATAAAAAAATCTGATTTTCACAGAGTTGAGGCAAAAAAAAGCTGAATTTTACAGAGTACACCCTAAAAAAAAAAATCTGAAATCTCAGACTAAAACAAGCAAATCAGACGAAAAACACTTCTGGGGGCCTGGAAGTAAGGTAGTTCCCAAGGTGGGTAAAAGCTTGTCAACCAGAGATGTCCAGCAAGTGCTGAGTGTTTCAACCTCTTGCTGTATTCTAATACATACTGTATCCATGATACGTCCAGGTATCCAAAGTGGGGACTGCACTGCACCACACTTTTACCTAGGGGTTCTGCCTTGTACTTCCTCGCCATTATGTCGTACCCAATTGATTCTGCACTGGCTACAAGATTCGAGACATGTACGATACAGTATCATTCTCATTTCTACCTAAACCTACGAACACCTCAATGGGTTTAAGAACGAAGCCGAGATGGCTACTGGTGCACTACCGTACTTAAACCACAAACGATGTACCCAACAATATACAAATACATCATAAACACTGCTTTTGCAATCACCTGCATGTTTGGACAGAGACACAAGGCTCTAGAGGACTTCACTTGGCTCAATGTTCTCAGCATCCTCTTGCCTTGACCTGCATCAGCCGCACATTCCACGGGGAGGGAGCGCAAACAGAGATGTTGTAAGACCATAACAACTTCACAGTCCGCCCTCACAGTCCGCCTTCACAGTCCGCCTTCACAGTCCGCCCTCACAGTCCGCCTTCACAGTCCGCCCTCACAGTCCGCCTTCACAGTCCGCCCTCACAGTCCACCCTCTGAGAACATGCACGGCCGCAGCATGGGTTTACCCCCATGGGCAGTGCTGGGGGCAGCTCGGCTGAAACCAGCAGAATAAAATTGGGTGGGGACGGGTTGGACCCAACATGCATGCTCAAGCTTACCCACTCAAGCCTACCCACTCTAGCCTACCCACTCTGGCCTACCCACTCTAGCGTACCCAAGCCTACGCACTCAGCTCACCTCATCGACCCTGCAGCGCTCTTCCCCGTCGCCACACTGGCAGCAGCACCCCTCGACCTGCCGCCATTGGCAGCACCGGGAGCAGCTCTGCTGAGCCCGGCAGCAGATGAGGGGAGGGACGGCACGGTGCGCGTGACAGTTGACACGCCGTCGATGAACTTGGTGCGGAAAATGACATTTGCGTTGTTGAACATGCCCTCTTTTAGTGACACCACTATGAACTGGTGGGAGGGGAAGGGGGAAGCGAGGGAAGGGGGAAGCGAGGGAAGGGGGACGAGGGGTGTTGGGGGGGGGGCGAAGAGTATGGAGCCATGTCGGGGGGGGAGGAGTAGAGGGGGGGGGGAGAGGGGAGCGGGGTACGATATACAAGGGTGATGAGGAGGGTTGAGCACAATTTGTGACAATGCAGATGTGACGTCAAGGAGGTTAAACTGTTGCAATTATACACCACAAGATAGAAACATGGCATCGAGAATCAAATGAATTCAGCAGTCGGATGGTTTGTGAGGGGGCTTTGTGCTGCACGAACCTGGGAATGCGGGAAGTGCTGCTTGATCATGTGGCCAATGTTCTGCGTGTGGTTGAGATCCAACGCTGCATCCACCTGCAGTCAAGATCAATGGAAGGAACACCAGCAAGGGGTACAAATGTCACTTGCTCTTTGACCATGTGAGCTGTTCTACCAGTGGTTGAGAACCAATGCGTTCTCCACGTACAAAGTGGACGAACAGAGTGACACGTTGATGATGGCCAGTTCAATGCGTTCAACATCAGCAGTCACAAGCCGTGTGGCTGAGGATTCAGCAACGCCACCTTCATGTGCTGCCGTACCAGGACGCCTCAACACCCAACACACGCTCTCACCTCGTCCAGAATGTAGAGCGGAGCGGGTTTGAAGAGCAGGAGGGCGAGGATGAGGGAGAGGGCGAGCAGGGAGCGCTGGCCGCCAGAGAGCTCGGAGAGGGAGTGCTTCCACACGCCGCCGAACGCCACCTTCACCTCCAACCCCGCCAGGAAGTCCTGCCCCTCTGGGGGGTCCAGCTTGGCCGTCGTGCCGGGCAGCAGCGTGGAGAATATGGACCCGAAATCCCTGTGAGAGGGAGGGGGAGGGGAGGGGATCAATCATGGCAGGAGCAAGCCGTGTACTGGAGGGTAGGCAGGGACTCCTGGCCCTCTGGTTGTTCCAGCTGAACTGCGGTGGCGCCTGGGAGGAGTGTGTGGAATGTGAATCCCAGGTCCCTGAGGGGATACGAAGGCTGGGATGAAGCAAGTAGTGGGAGGAGTGGACTGTGGTTGGCATGACATGAGGCGATGGTGGCATGAGGGGCTTTTGAGCTGACTCAAAAAGGGAAACAAAGGCTACCAGGAAGTGTAGGGAGGAAACGATTGTGGTTGGCTCGGACATGCAATGACGTGGTATGAGTGGGTGGATGGTGAGAGGCGGGAAGTGGATGTTGTGAAGGGGATTTAGCTGGGATGGCATGGCAGGTGGGATGGCAGGTGGGATGGCAGGTGGGATGGCAGGTGGGATGGCAGGTGGGATGGCAGGTGGGATGGCGGTGGGGATAACTTACTTGGTGACTTTCTCCCACGTGACTTTCAGCTGCTGCTTCTTCTTCTCATCCAGCTGCTCTATCGCCTCCTCGATCTTTGCCTTGTCCCTCTGCACACACACATACACACACAGGGAGGGTGCGGAGATACAGGGGCACACAGAGAGAACACTCTGAATTCATTCTCTAGATTCATAAATAACGAAGAAAAAGAAAACGGGAAAGTCTGAACACGAATAGTTTCGCCGTTAGCGAGAACGGGCCGGTGACAGTGAGTTGGTTCTTTAGAAAGCAGACAGAGGCAGCGTGCAGAAACAGGCTCCTTCTTCGCCCGGATTTTCCTCGCTATGCAGTGCCTCAAACCACAAGCAACACAGCACCCAGCAACAGAAGAAGCAGCAACAGGAGCGAAAGAGAGGCGCCACTCACGAGCACGATGTCCTTCTTGGCGGTCAGGTCCTTGTACTCCTGCTCCGTCTTGTCAAACATGGCAATCACCTTCTTGTTGATTCGCTTCTCCACACTGTGATCAACAGCACAGACACGCGGATGGCATACGGCACGCATGATCTCAGGGAGGGGTTAGGGAGGGCGGTGAGTGCACATCACAAGGCTTGTCACAAGCCTCGAAGACCTCCCTTACCTGCCAACCCGCCGCTCACCTTTCCCCCTTCCCCTCACGTCCCCCTTGCCCCTCACCCGTCCCCCTGCCCCTCACCCGTCCCCCTGCCCCTCCCCGGCCCCCTGCCCCTCACCCGTCCCCCTGCCCCTCACCCGTCCCCCTGCCCCTCACCCGCCCCCCTGCCCCTCACCCGTCCCCCTGCCCCTCACCCGTCCCCCTGCCCCTCACCCGTCCCCCTGCCCCTCACCCGTCCCCCTGCCCCTCACCCGTCCCCCTGCCCCTCACCCGTCCCCCTGCCCCTCGCCCGTCCCCCTGCCCCTCACCCGTCCCCCTGCCCCTCACCCGTCCCCCTGCCCCTCACCCGTCCCCCTGCCCCTCACCCGTCCCCCTGCCCCTCACCCGTCCCCCTGCCCCTCACCCGTCCCCCTGCCCCTCACCCGTCCCCCTGCCCCTCACCCGTTCCCCTTTCTCTCCTTCCACGCACCTGCTCTGTTGGGACTGCTTCTCCGCCAGCAGCTGCCGGGCAGCCACAGGGTCCCGAGAGTTGAAGTCGTAGTCCGTGCCGGCGCGCCCAAACAGCGCGCGCTCCGTGGCGATCCACGCGTGCTGCCTCTCCATGCGCTCCACGTCCTTCACGCCCCTCTGCTGCTCCGCCTCCCTCGTCTTCACCTGCTCGCCCCACGGGGACAACAAAGCCACAAGCAAGGCACGTGGATCAACATCGGCGATACGGTTTGGCTTTATTGACGACGTCTCAAAGGTCGTCTCCAACTGCTCGTCAATGGGGAAACCAGAATCACTGTCAAGCCATACACATCAGCATCCGAGAGCTGCACGCCACGCCACTTGGCCTCATGGCTTCTTGAGCACCACGACGGCACTCTGCATAGAGGATGCCGCTCAGCCTTCTCACTGGTGACCGGCGTTCCCTCTATGCTCAACCTCACCACTGCTCGACAAGCCCTCTGCCCACTCGGCCTTTGCTTCCCCCTTCTGAGCCTAGCCTTGCTGCAGCTGCCTCAGCTGTTTCCAGCCATCTGAAACCACACACATACGTGGATCAACAGCAGATGCCTCACCAGCGACGGCCTCCTGGACCAGCACTTGTATCATCAAGCATAAATCCCTGCCAGTCGCATCCCTGCTAAGTCATACCTGCCAAGTCATACCTGCCAAGCCATACCTGCCAAGTCATACCTGCCAAGCCATACCTGTCAAGCCATACCTGCCAAGCCATACCTGCCAAGCCATACCTGGTGCTCCAGTTTCCGCTTCTCCATGCCGGCGTTCATCTTCCTCTCCTCCATCTCTCCCACCTCCCTCTCCACGCCCGCCATTCTCTCATCGCACGCCCGCAGCTCGTTCTGCCGCCTCTCCACATCACCCTGCACCGCATCCAACTCCTCCTTAACGTCCGCCACCTTCCTGGCAGCTTCGTCCACCTCGTGCTGCAGCCTGCCCACCTCCACCTCTGCTGCACTGATCTGCTCCTGCGCTGCTGCCTCCTCGCCTCTCGAAGCCTCCACTGCTATCGCCAGCTGCTCCCTCTCGTTTTGCTTCGCCTGCAAAGGGTATTGCAAGAAAAAAGAAACAGAAGGGTGAGAAACAGAAGTGTGCGGTGGCAGCAGCAAGGCCGAGCAACGGAGGCGTCACATTGAACGTCATGCTGGCAGCAGCCGCCTGCGGCTCTAAAAGGCACTTATTCGTACGTGTGAGTGAACGCTCACACACCTTGAGGGCCTTGCTCGCAGCAGCCTTTGCCCTCTCTCGAGCCCATGCGCCTCCATCTCCCTCTCCAGCGCTCTCTGAGTCAACTCCACAACACATGCCTAGCTGAACGTTGCCTTACCTTGAGAGCCTTGCTCGCAGCAGCCGCCTGCTGCTTTGCTGCCTTCGCCTTGGCCTCTAGAGCCTTCAGCCTTTGCCCTCTCTCCCGCCCCTGCTGCTCCATCTCCCTCTCCAGCGCTGCTGCCTCGTCCAACAGCCCCTTCTCCTTCCCTGCTGCCTCCGCTGACGTGGCTTCGCACTCCGCCAGCTCAGCCTCGAGGGCTGCCAGCTCCTCTGCAAGCTGCGCAGGCCGCAGCCAATGCAAAGAGACACGCATAGAGGGGGGGATGCCATCAGGTACAGCCACGTCAACAGTTCAAACCGGGTCTCGAATATTCATGTATGAGCTAGCCACAGACTTCCTCTCACCATTCTGCCTGCTGGTGCTTGCTTTGGAGCTACCCTATCTCACCTGCTGATGCTTTCCCTGCCCCATCCTCATCCTCTCATCCACCTCTCAACTGGTCGCGATCGCTCTGCCTCATCTGCTCCTTCGCCAGGGACAGCAGCATCTGGTACGCCTTCAGCTACATGGACTGCTGCCTCCTCTCACCTGCTACTTCCCTCTTTCCCACCATCCCCTCACTCTCCACTCCTCTCACCTGGTGGTGCTCGCTCTGCTTCATCTGTTCCTGCGCCAGGGACAGCTGGTGCGCCTTCAGCTGCAGCTGCTGCGTCAGCTCCACGTACTGCTGGCGCTGCTGCTGCAGGGCGCTCAGCTGGCGAGCGGTAAGCAGCACGGGGAGACACACGAGGGGGCAAATGAACAACAGCGCTTGTAGGGCAATACGCGAATCCGGTGCTGCGGGAATGTACTGCTGACGCTTCTGCTGCAGTGCAACAAGGAAGGAAAGAGGGGCGCACCACAGGCGCGGCCCTGCAAGGGTGTCCTATCGGGTGCTCGAGTGTGATGAGCGGTGAGGGAACCCTCAAGGTGCAAGAGAGTGCATGTGACATGACTCAAGCGACGCACCTCTGCCAGCACTTGCTGCAGCTGCGCCTCCAGCGCGGCCAGCTGCTCCTCGTCCTCCTTCACCGCGTGCAGGCGCGAGAGCAGCACACCGCCCCCCCTGTGGAACAGGCAGCACGGGAGGGACGAAGTCAGCAGTTGAGTGGTGAGAATCTGTTCAGGTGGACCCACAGCTGGCGATCAAGCACGGACGGATGCATTGGTCAGAGCGACCAGGCTGCCCCCCCCACTACGTTCAACCTCCGTTGCTTTCACCCTGCTTCTCCCTTGCACCATCCCTTTTCTTAATCCTTCGCTTCTAATGCCCAACCTTGTCTTACCCTTGCCCCACCCTTCTGCCTCACCCCTCTTGTCTCACTCTCCGCCCTCACCTCCTGGACCCTCCAGTGAGCAGCCCGCCCGGGTTGTAGCTGTCGCCGTCCAGCGTGACACAGGGCGTCATGACGTCCGGGTGGAACGCCACCTGAAAGGTGATGATGGGGTGGCGTGGCGGGAACAGGGATGTGCAGGAAGGAGGGCGGGAGGAGCGGTGGAGAACATGCAGGAGAGAGAAGTGAAGGGCAGATATAAGATGGCAGAGATATGGTGAACGGACAGGACGAGGAGCCACATCAAGCTGGAAAGCGGGGACGGCGCACCTTCTTGGCCGTGGCAGAATCGCGGCAGATGAAGGTGTTGCCAAACGCGAAGGCCATGGCAGGCTGTAGGACAAGCAACGCACGGTGGGCGCAGAGCACAAGAAAACAACCGTCACAAACCGCAGCAGATTTCACAGATGGGGGTCGTCCCACAACGGATGGCCATCAAACAAGGATGACATTTTCGCAGATGCCATTAAACGAAACCGTGCAGTTACAAATTTGTACCTGGAGCTCAGGGTCGAAATCGACGGCAGAGATTGCAGTCCACACGTTCTCCTTGCCAACCTGTAAATGATGGGAGGCAAAGTGAAAGAGTGGTGGGAATGGTTGTTACTGGAGAGCACGCACATTCTCCATACCAGAAACAAGAGAGTCTTACATTGTCTGGCGCAAGCCAGTGAATAGCTTCACTTAAGAAGTGGGTTTCATGGCATCTCACTAGATGAAAAACGCGGGTGGCTGTTGTGTCAACCGTGTGGAGCGCTTGCCAAACATGCATGCTAGGGAAACTCCGGATTAAGTGACTCAGTGAGCCTTCTCACACGCACCAGAGCAAACCGGTTGGCAGCTCACCAGTTGGATGGCCCGGTTGAGCTTGGCCTGTGAGATGCAGCGGCTGTCAATTTTGTTGAGCAGGCTCCACTACGACACAAACTAGCCGGCTCAAACACGCCAAGGCAAACCAGTCGGCAGCCCAATCTCACCAGCTGGATGGCCCTGTTGAGCTTGGCCTGGGAGATGCAGCGGCTGTCGATCTTGTTGAGTGGGATGAGCGTGACTCGGCGCTGCAGGCGGCCGTGGCTCAGCAGCTGCTTGCCCGTTTGCTCCGAGTCCACCACCACGTTGTGCAGCCTGCCGCCCGCCACCACCTGTGAGAGGTGACGCACATGGGAATGGAAACAGGTATGGGGCGCCGTGGCTCAGAAACAGAGAATGCGCCGCGAGCGTCACGAGCTCACCCCAAGCGCGGTGCACATGGAGGTGTCGCACATGCAGAAGAGCCACGGTGGTCGAAGCCAGCCCAAGCCTAGACTAGCACGGTGGTCACAGTGTTGGCTTTCGAGACGCACAGATGTGCACCGCACTCACTGCGCGCCTAAACTAGCACTCGCCCGCCTTGCACGTCACACCCTGGGCCAATCGAACCCACCTCACATCGAGCGCCGTGGCTATGGAGGAAAAGGTCTGGCGCCAGTCGAAGCCCAAGCGCAGGTGAAACACCCACCTTGCGCCTCACCAGCTCGCCATCCCACCATCCCGCCATCCCACCCGCCATCCCGCCATCCCACCCGCCATCCCGCCATCCCACCCGCCATCCCGCCATCCCACCCGCCATCCCGCCATCCCACCCGCCATCCCGCCATCCCGCCATCCCGCCATCCCGCCATCCCACCACCCCACCATCCCACCACCCCACCATCCCACCACCCCACCATCCCACCACCCCACCACGCCTCATCGTCCCAGAAGCTCACCTCGAGCGCCGTGGCCATGGAGGCGTCGCGCATGCGGAAGAGGCGCGCCAGCACGCCCTTGACCTTGCGGCGGTCGAAGCCCCTCTCGGGGTCGCTGTACGAGAACCCCACGCCCAGCTCGCGCGATGCTCCCTCCACTCTCTGCCGCAGCTCTCCCACCGCCGCCTCCTTCTCCGCCTTGGACTGGTGGGATGGGGCGCGGTGGGTACAACGGAGGGGAATGGGGTTGAGTGAAAGGACTTCACTATCCGAGGATCGTTCTGAAAGCCATTCAGAACGATCCTCGGTGGATTTTGAGCAGGCGCAATCAAATGTGCGAAATTAGATAATTCAACGAGAATCAACGGGCAGCTAGGGTGCTCACCTTCTCAAGACCCGAATAGTGCTGCTCGTCGTGCCCTAGCCGCTGCAGCCCCGCCTCGCACCGCGCGACCTCTTCCGCCATGCCCGCCAGCCGCTGCTCCAGCCCGCTCGCCGCCTTGCGCTTCCCCGCCACCAGCCGCCCCTTCTCCGCCACCTCCTTCCGTAAGTGCGTCACGCGCAGCGCCGCCTGCTTTCCCCCCGTCGCCGCTTCCACCGCCGCGGCTTTCAGTTCCGACAGTTTCTGCGCCATCGTCTTGTCTTCCCCCGGATGCCCCGTCTTACCGGCCTGCACCGCCGCGTATTCCTCCTCCGCGTCTGCCAGCGCCTTGGCCTTCGTGTCGGCTTCTGATTGGACGGCTGCGAGCTCGTCGTCGGCGGATTGCATCTGAGCCGCTCGTTCCTCCGAGCCTTTCCGCATGTCAGCCAGTTTCTTGACGAGCTGCAAGGAGAGAAAAGAAAAGAACGAAGTAAAGCTGGAATTCAGTATCCAAGACGGTGATAATATCCGAACAGCTACGCACCGAACCTCCAAACGGCTCGATCGCTGTCTACGAACCATGCGCACACATGAACAGGAAACATTGTATGAGCGGCATCGAGACCAAGTCGGCAAACCACCCTAACACCGGAGACACAGGCACGACCATGTGGGAAGATCGTCGCGTCTGACCTGCTCGAGCGCCTTCTTCTCTGCTTCCAACGTCTCGCTCTTGTTGTTCCAAACGGATGTGACTTTAACGAGCTCCTTGGCTATCTTATCCGCGCGCTCCTGCACCTCCTTCATCGCGTCCCCCATCTGCCGGTCCTTCTCCAACAGCATCTCCTTTATAAGCCCTTTCTTTGTTACTATCGCCTCGTGACACTCCTCCTCCACCCTCGCCAGCTCCGCAATACTCTCCCTAATCTTCTCCACTACCTCCACTGCGGAATTCTTCGCCTTCTCCGCGAGAAAATACTCATACGCTACGCAAAACCGACTCAGCCTGTCGATATCCGAGTTCCCCTGCAGCCACGCCTGGTACTGCGCGCGCTCCCGCCGCAGACCCTCCAACCGCGGCAGAATCTCTTCCGTCAGCACCTTATTAATCTCCTCCACCTTCGTCTGCTTCTTCTCCAGCGTCTTTAAAGCGCTCTCCTTCTTGTTCTCGTACATGCGCGTGCCGGCGGCCACTTCGAGCATGGAGAGAATCTCGGGGGGTTTCATGTTGAGCACCTTGGTGATGCGGCCTTGCATGATGAGGAAGTGCGGGTTGTTCACGTTCAGCTGCACGGAGTGGAAGAGCGTCTGCACGGCGCTCGGCTGCTTCACGTGACCGTTGATCAGGTACTTGTTGCGCCCGCCGATCACGATCTGAACGGCAGCGGAAAGGCCAGATAAGAAAAAACCGAGCGTCGTGAGTTAGGTTTTTTTTTCACAGGCGAGAAGACAGCACCAGTGAAAGGAAACGAATGTTAACGGATTAAATGCGAATCATGACCAGCGTATTTAGACAATTTCCCTCACCTGTCTGGTAACGGTGATGCGGTCATGGTCCTCGTACCCCACGGGACTCCCGGCCTTGTCATGATTGTTAAACACAATGGAGACCGTCGCACGTGTGACACCGGCCTGGCCCTGCTTGTAGATCAGCTCCTGCAGGTTGCTGGCGCGCACGTGCTGCAGGTTGGTGATGCCGAGCACGAAGCAGATGGAGTCGAGGATGTTTGACTTGCCGGACCCGTTGAGGCCAGTTATGGCGTTGAACTTGGAATCGAAGTCGCGCACCACCGTCCTCTGCGCGTACGACTTGAATCCCTCGATTGCGATTTCCTCGATGTACATCTTGCCAAGATTCGGAGAGGAAACTAGAGATCCAGACTTATGCTTACTAAGCGTAAGTGACGGGGACAGGGACGGATCTGTTGAGACGCGACACGAACTCCTTCCCTGATAAAACTGCAATGAATGCTTGAAAGTAAAACTTGTATCTCACGTTCACTGCGCAGCCTTCTAGTCAATCTGTCCGTTTCTCCTCGAACAATAACCTTCCTCCTAACAGATCGTCTCTGAACTCCGAGAACATGAACGAAACTGAATCGAGCGTCCTCACAGGCTGCTTTCTAAAACCAGACAGCCAGGTCACACAGGGTCGGTAACAAGTGCCTGAGCTTCTTTCTTCAGCTTCTACCTGTTTGCCTGCCTGTCTGCCTGTCTGCCTGCTGTTTGCTTCCCCACGCTCTCAATGCCTGTGACTTGCAATGCCACTGATGAAGTCGGAGAATGCTGACTCGAGGCCTGAAGAATGCGATGAGTAGGGAGGTGAGGAACTGGCACTGGAGGCTTGCTCGAAACATTCACTGGGATGAGATAAGATGGGATGGGATGGGATGCGATGAGATGCAGCGGGATGGGATGCGATGGGATGCAATGATATGGGATGAGATGGGATGGATAGCAGCAGCCCGCGAGAGCCAGTCAACCCAGGGATTGTCAGGGGCGGCAGCGGGAGCTCGTAGCGCGCTGCACTTTGAAAGAGCGCGGGAATCTCGAGGCCAGTCGATGGTGTCAGACTCTTTCGATGTTAACGCGGTAGTGTTCGATACAAGCTGCTAAACCAGCCTCATATGCAAATGTTACTACGAAAGGAAGTTGGGGAAAATATGTAACAAGAGCCTCAATAATGCTTGTGGCAAAAACAAAAGTGGAGTCACTAAAAAGGGTGGTTTCACATGTTTGATAATTTGTTTCACGTCATCAGTCACTATTGGCTTGGGGAATTTCACGCAAATACTTAGACATGAATCCCATCAATTCTCCAGCTCGCGCAAGACCAGAATACAAGCTTTGGAAAAAAAAAAAAAAAAAAAAAAAAATTGAAATTCACTCGTAACCATGTGCAGGGGTTTCATGTCTGACCATTGTCGTGATTTGCCGTCGGTTAATAGTGACCAGGCCCTTAGATATCCAGGATTCTATGTCAAATTACACACATATGTTAGATGTAGGCTGTAGTGGGGAAGACCATAAAGGTTACTGTTAACGGGAATGGAGTGTTGGCCCCGCCCTCGCTTGGGCAACGCCGACGACTTGGTCGGATGTACGGGAGTAGCAGTCGACCGTTCACAGTGGGAGAGCTGCTCGACAGGCTTCGTTGAGCTGCAGGGGACCGCTGTGGTGTTGCTGTCGACCAGGGAGCTCGACAATTGCAACTGACTGGTCTGGGCGACGGGTGGGACGTCGACCAGGACCTACAGCTCGACCGGGAGGTCTCCGGAGCATCCCGTCGACCTGCAGCTCGACCGGAAGGTCTCCGGAGCATCCCGTCGACCTGCAGTTCGACCGGGAGGTCGACGGAGCAGTCCGTCGACCTGACAAGTGAGCAGCGGTCGACGAGGGGAGCTCGGCGACAACCGCTGATGATTCTGGTCGACGGAAGGGTTCCGTCGACCAGGGGGTTGTTTGACGGGAGTTGTCGTCGACTAAAGGCACCCTGTGGTCGACCAGAGGGACCTGGTGGTCTACCGGAGGCGCCTGGGGGTCGACCAGAGCGCCTGGGGGTCGACCAGGTCGACCGGGTAACCTGCTCGACGAGTTTTGCGGAGGCACGCGAACGTCGTCGAGGACGCAGTGGTGCAGGCGACTTCGGGCTGGTATCCCGAAGTCGATGTGGCTTGTCAGACGCAGACAACAGCCGATGGATGCCCAACGAGGCAAGTCGGGCCAATTGTCTGCGCGCACCTGCGAGCGTGCACACTGCTGTGTTCTACGGGGCAACGCTGGACAGCCGCTCTGCTGCAGTGTTGGCACGCCGTTGACCTGCTCTTCTGGCAGGTCGCCCTTCTGCAGTGCTGGCGCGACTCCTCTACACAACGCTGGCAGGCGGTCGACCGAGTTGTGCTGGCGGTCAACCAGGCTAGCTGCAGGGTCGCTAGGTGCCTGATGTAGTCATTCTGTCATTGCTTGTTCAATCATTCTGTAATTCCAACTTTGCTAGTGGAAACTCTTGCCGATTTCTCCCGTGAATGTGCAAGCACTAAGGAACCAAGCAAAGCTACGATCACCTCTAGTAGTTCGTGCCAACCCCCGTAGTCTAGCTCACTACCGTTGTAGAGTGACTCTCCGCATGGTGCGGTGAGCGTGGACGGCCCCGCAAATACCTTCAGATCGGAGCCGAATTTTGCACCTACTAAGTCGTTCGTAGGCCGGCAGCAGCGATAGTCGCCATGGTCGACCCCGTAGTTGATGCGGGCGTAGCGGACACCTTGGAGGCACGTTTGGTTGACGCGAGGAGACGCCACGCGGATGGCGAGTACGGGACGATCCCCTTGGTGATCGCCGAGTTGGGCATCTGGTCGCAGTGGGCGACGGAACACCCTTCCCGTCCTGCTTCTCCTCGACCGGTGCGCAACGAAGGTGGCGTCGACGACGAGGTCGACGGTGGTGCACGAGTCAGCGGTAGCGAAGGCACGAGGCAGAGAGGGGTGATCAAGGTCGACGGTGGTGTCGACGGAATCCAGGCGCGAGTGCAGCGGTCGACGGCGGCTGCAGGCAGCTCGCGTGCCGGCGTCGATGTTCGACGTCGCTCTCCTCTACGAAGCGGTGGAGGGCTCTCGGCGACGACGCATGTGACTGCAGGCGGGATTGCACCGGCGTATGGCTACTTCAAATTCTCGTCGGACCGGATCACCGTCGCACCGCTGCAAGGTCGACGAGACCTCATCACCTGGAGGGAGTCGATAGAACCTCACCTGGAGGTCGCCGGGCTGAAGGGCTTTGCCGATGGCACCGTGCCAATTCCGCCCGAGGAGGATGTCGAGCTGCGCGGGGAGTTTCGTTCTGCTCACCTGCTCACCTTCATGGTCATCTCGAGGTGCTGCTCGCCGGTGGTGCAGCTAGCGCTCACGAGCTGTCGAGAGCGACTGGATGCTGGTCACCAGGCATGGCGCTTCATCATGTCGACGTACCAGGTCAGGGACGACCTGTATATCGGGCATCTGGAGGAGAAGATGACTCACATTCAGATGGGCGAGCAGGAGTCGGCGACGGATTACTGCAACCGTGCTCGACGGATCCTGGCTGAGATGCGGATGGCGGGCGCCGAATACTCGACGGCGTCCTACATCACCCACATTGTCAAGGACTTGCCGCGCTGCTACAATCTCATGAAGAGGATGATGACGGTGCCCGGCACGCGTGAGTCCCTCGACGAGGAATCCATCACCAGCTACATTCTTCAAGTTGAGGCGATGCAAGAGGCCGAACAGCCCACAGAGCTCCTTCCGCAAGCAAACTACGCTGCATCGACGAAGCTGAATCAGCAGCAAGGGCAGCGCGGGAAGCCGGGCGGAGGTGGGCGGTCGACGAAGGACGTCCACGAGAAGCGGTCGATGCGAGTCAAGGGTCGACGAGGTGGTGGTCGACGGCGGGAGTGCTGGATCTGCGGCGACCCCGACCATCTCTCCTTCGAGTGCCCCGACCGCGATGACAGCGACGAGGACGACAACAAGGGAGGCTGTGGTCGATCGGCCAGTCGTCGCCCCCGTTGAGATGAGAAGCCGCGCAAGGAGAAGCAAGCGTCGAAGAAGACGTCGTCGACGAAGGACATCGACAGCTCCAGCGGCAAGAGCCGAGGCGACGGGGAGGCGTCGTGCTTGATGGTCGGCGTGGTGGAGCCGACGGTCTCGCTGGCGGCGGAGGCTGGCGAGGACTTCCAGGCAGTGGCGGCAGCTGTGCAGGCCAACCCGATGGCCGTGCTGCTCGAGAGCGGGTGCTCCCACCACCTGATGGGGATGAAGTCGGTCTTCGTTGACATGGGGCCGAGCGACGGGGTGAAGCACGTGCGTGGGTTCAACGGGGCATTGCAGCCTGTCGAGGGTCGCGGAACCGTCGCCCTGCAAGGGGAGGCCGGGAAGCGGGTCCTCATCCCCGACGTACTCTACGTTCCGGGCGTACAGGCAAACCTGGTGTCTGCTGGCCAGCTGAAGGCAAGCGGAGTGCTGCTGCAGGGCGATGGCGACGAGATGCTGCTCGTCGCCGCGACCGGGGAGGTGCTCGGTCGAGCACGCTACACCGGACGAGTCCTCTACACCGACCTTCGCCCCTGCTCGACGCAGTCGCAGTCGACCGAGGTGGTGGCTCTGCGGACGATCGTCTTGGCGACGAAGACGACCCCCGATAGGATGCATGCGCGGCTCGCACACGTCAGCGTCGACACGATCAAGAGCTCAGCGAAGCATGATGTTGCTACTGGGCTCGACATCACGTCGTCGACCGGAGCAGACCCGCCGTGTGTCTCGTGCGTCGGAGAAAAGCTGGCGCGGCACACCTTCCCCGCCAAGGGCTCGGACGCAGCGGAGGCGCTAGCTGTCGTGCACATTGACTTGTGCGGGCCATTTCGGGTGGCTGCCAAGGATGGGAGCTTGTACTTCCTGCTGTTGAAGGATCGCCATACTCGATTTGTATGGGCAATGCCGGTCGCTAAGAAGAGCGACGTGCTGCGGGAGTTCCAGCGGTGGCTGGTGCTGGTGGAACGGCAGACGAAGAAGTCGGTGCTGTCGCTTCGATCCGATCGAGGAGGGGAGTTCCTCGGGAAGGCGTTCACCGACTTCGTCGACAGGAAAGGCATCGTCCACGACCTGACGTGCCCCTACACTCCGCAACAGAATGGCATGGCTGAGCGGGAGATGCGCACGGTCGTCGAGTCCGTGCGGACGATGCTGCTGCATATGGGTGTGCAGCACCACTGGTGGCAACTTGCTCTACGACAAGCGGTCTGGGTGCGCAACTGCTTGGAGCGGTCGACAACGCCGCCGGGGACGACTCCGTACCAGCTGCTGACCGGG